CCTGATCCTCCCGAACACGCAAATGAGACTGAACACGATGCAAGTCCATCAACTGGTGAGTTTTCCTACCGAACGAAACAGATACATAATACTGATATCTATTTGACATATGTAGTCAACGCACCGCATGCAACTAGTTCAGCAAACCACTCTGACGAAGTTGATGCTGACGGCTTCCTCAAGGATGTTCAAGTCATGAGCATTGACAAGGCCTCTGAAAACCCACGTCAAGAGCAGCGAAGTCGCGACATCACCAAGTTTTTTTCCGAGCCTTACACTGACAAAGGCAAGAAGCACCGGAATTGTCAACTGTGCAGGTAAATTTACATTTCTGTCTCATGCACATTGTACTGACTACGCTATAGCAAGAAAATGAAAAAACCCGTTGCTTTTGTCAATGAGGTGACGACTATGCGACGCCATATGGACGCTTCACACAGGGTAAGTATTGCCAACCCGAGAAAACATGCCACTAACTGTTCATTATAGAATGAATATCTTACATGGGCCGAAGCTGAGAAATTTGTCTCAATGTTACCAAAGGACACCAAGCGCCGCAAGCTAGACGCTGCTGCTGACTCTCAAGCACGACTCGATGCCCACCTCCGTGAGCCGCAACCAAAGGAACAGATCATCCCATACTCAGATGCAATCTTCCGCGAGGCCGCCATTGAATGGCTGATTGAAACTGACCAGGTATGTTTTTTTAATTTAATTCTGGCAATTGGACACTTATCAGTTCACTGCAGCCTATTGACGCACTCAACCACAAGTCCTTCAAATATATGATTGATGTAGCAGCACGAGCTACCAACGGTGTCAAGCTACCTAGTCGATCAAAGACGCGCCGAGCCATTATCGACCTCTTCAAGCGTAATCTCACCAACCTTCGCCGACGGTTACTTGTAAGTCATTTGTTGATTTTTTTGTCGTTATTTCTAACACGAACCACAACAAGAGCGACGCTGTCAAAGGACGGATCAATTTGACATGCGACGCCTGGCAAGCGTCGAATGTCGATGGCTATTTTGCCCTCACTGGTCACTGGATCGAAGAAAGAACAGTCGGTGTTTGGAGCGTTCAAAGTGCCCTTCTTGGCTTTACTCGACTGAACAACGCTCACAACGGTGTCCGTCTTGGTCAAGCGCTGTTCAAATTAGTTAAACGTGTTGGGATTGAACATAAGGTAAGTAAAATTCTAGCTTCATAACAGTGTGGCACTGATGAAGTTTCAGATTGGCTACATTACGTGCGACAACGCAGCCAACAACGATACCATGATGGAACATTTCGCCGTCCACATCGAGGCACACACCAAGAAGACATTCAATCATAAAAAACGGCGCCTTCGGTAAGAGTTTCTATGTCTTGTTTATTACTACCAATTCTCACATATATTCAGGTGCTTGGCCCACATTATCAACCTCGCAACTCAGGCGCTGTTGTCCACACACAGCAAGTCGAGGCACTACGATGCCACCCAACCTAACGACGATTTGCTTGCCCCCACGACTCACTCCACACTTGAACGAGACGAGGTTGGATTAGTCCGGTCAATCTGTGTCAAGGTTTGCCGTCCGTCAAATGCACATATGTTTTGTTGACATTGTTCATTGTAGGAGCGCTCCTCAGCTCAACGAAAGGAACTTTTTCAGAGTGTCCAGCGTCGAGACGAAGATGGCCACACGCCAATCAAACATCCACGACAGCTGCTTCTCAACATGAAAGTAAGGTGGTCCTCAACATACACCATGCTTCAACGTGCATTCGAGCTGCGAGATGTAAGTTCAATTTAGGATGTCAATGTTGTTCCCGCTGATGTATATTATTAGGAAGTTGACTATTTTGTGGGCCGGCTCGGTTTGCAAGAGAAGGACTCAGCTAAACGGAAAAAGATTACGGACCTTGAGCTATCATCTGAAGAGTGGACCTGTGTTCAACGTCTGCTCTCAATCCTTGGTGTATGTATTTTTATCTTACAACTCGAGTCGCGGCTCACGTTGAAACTACAGTTTGCCGAGTTGTCGCAGCAGTCCTTCTCATCTGAACAAGGACCAATGCTTCACTTAGCATTGCCTGCATTGGAGTCGTTGCATAGCGCATGGTCTTCACGTTCTGGATGTATCAAGTATCTCGATTTTGCGGAGGGCCTCGATGCTGGTATTGAGAAGATTACGAAGTATTACGAGAAGTCGAGTAGTTCTGACGCCCATATTATGGCGATGCGTGCGTCGTTCTTTCATGTACATAGTATTACTCCCACTGACTTTCCAACGACAGTTCTCGATCCGTCACAAAAGGAGACCCATCTTCGCAAGTATTGGGGCAAGGAATTGCTTGTCGAAGCACACAGACATGCAGAGGAGATGGTAAGTAAAGCTCTCGTCACAACACACTCACTAATGGTACATCTAGTACAAAGAACGGTATCTCGAAATGTACAGCAACGATCCCGACTCTAGGAATGGTGTCGAAGTCAAGGTCAGGAAGACAGGGAATCGCAAACTCGATGCTCTGCTGCAAGAGCTCTCTGACGGCGAGGATGACAGTGACTCGATGCTGCAGCCCACCCTAATCTCTCGCGCGAGTTCCACAAATTCTGTCACTCCCTCCGAAGCTGCGAATGAGCCGTGGCGGCACGACTTTCACGCTTACCTCAACTCCAAGGACCACCTTGGAGATATGACTATTGTGCAGTGGTGGGGCATCAACGCACCTCGATACCCAGTCTGGGCGTCACTCGCGCGTGACTTCCTTTCCATTATGGCCACGTCCGTGTCCAGTGAACGTGCATTCTCATCTGCTGGTATTACTATCTCCAAGCGCCGAAATCGTCTCAAACACGACATCGTCGAAGCACTGCAGTGCTTGAAATGCATGATCAAACATGATCTCCTGTTTCGCAAGGACCCATCTGTTGCAACCGAGTTCGTAGATGATGCATTGTCCGAAGATAAGACTCCTGCTGCTCTCAATGAAGATGATGGGTGGGATGATGTTGCTGAGGATTTATGTGAGAATGAGGAGCTGTTAGAATCAGATGACGAAGATGTTTCTATTCAAATGTTAGATGAAATTTGATTTACTTGCTACGTTTTTTGTATCACAAGGCCCTAGGCCCAAGCCGAGCCAAGCCCCAGCCGAGCCTGAGCCCTACCATTAGTGCCTCCGAAGTCCGGTCCCGAACCTAGGTTCGAACTCGAACCTTTGCGGACTGGACCATTGGTTCAGTCACAGGTCCGGTATTTCTGCTGGACCGAACCCCCTAATAGGTCCGAGGTCCGGTATTTTCCTGGAGCACGTGAACCGGTCCAGACGCGTCCGGACCGGTTTGAACCTGATGTATTTTTATCCAACTTAGATTCTCAAACCGGCAACGAAGCCTCATGTTTTTGGTAAGGTTTTCTGTTTAAGCATTGTGCTTGCCCGTCGCTTTACTGTCTTCCCCCCCTTCTAGCCTACTTGCAGTAACTACATTGCCCTCATCCGTGTTCTTCTCTTGGTCTCTTCAGCAATGCGACTTATCAAGGTGCCGGTACGTTCACAACACGTTCACTGTTTGTCGTTGCTAACTTCTAATGCCATTTATTTCAGGACATACTGTCCGCACTTTTGATTCACCACACTGCTGTTCTGGCATTATATATTATCATTGCAGTACTGTCTCACAGGCTCCTGCAGAGCCATCTGTCACCGTCCCATCTTCGCTCACTCGCCAAGGATCATATGGCCATAGTTGGATGCGCAGCTCTGTCAAATCGCATGTCATGAACGACACAACTACACGAAGGCCTCGTCAAGAACTTGAGGACTACCTAGATGCACCCCTTGAGGATGTCGACAACGTAGTGGGCTGGTGGGGGGTACGTCTTATTGTTTAATTTATGTTGTTTGCATACTAATATCATCAAAAAACTTTTCAAGCACCATTCTATCCAGTACCCGACCATCTCCCGCATCGCGAAGGATTACCTTGCCATCCAGGGATCCGCAGTTGCGTCCGAGCGTGCATTTTCAAGCGGCGGCATTACTGGGACCGCACGTCGCAGCTGTTTGCAGCCAGCAACATTCGAGGCTCTCCAGTTGCTCAAGAGCGCATACCGTCAAGGCCACATTTCTGCAACATCCCAGGCTGAGTTTGCTGCTCCTTACGATAACTGCATTGTCGTCGAGGAAGAGTTTTAGTAGTTATTCGTACTAGCAGGTTTTGTTCTCATTTTTTGTTAATTTTAATTTTTTTTGCAATTTAAACAACGGTTCGAGAGTTCGAACGTGTTCTGAACCTGAACTGAACCCTTCCGAACGCGTTCGAAGGCGTCCGGTCCAAGGTTCGGCCACCATGCCTGAACCTGACCAATGGTCAAGTTCAGGGTTCGCAGACATAGGGCCATGAACCTGACCGAACCGGACTTCGGAGGCACTACCTACCATAGGGCCTGGCCTTGGTTTGAAGCAAGCCCCAGCCCTCCAAGGCCGAGCCGTGGCCCCGGCTTTTGAGCCGAGCCGGGCCTTGAACATCACTAGCGACAACCAGGGAGTTGTCAATGCCTGGCGCAATGGTAGAAGTCGCAACTGGGAGACTAACAGAGTGTTCCGCAGGATCCACGACAGCCTCTCCAGCTCCAACGGCCACATCTCTTTCCACTTGTGCTACGTTGCAAGTCGCAACAACCCAGCCGACGGTCCATCACGCGGTCTCTTCCCACCAATCTGGTTTCTTCTCCCACCCGTCTCCTTGCCACCTGACGTCTCTTACCTCCTTACCGATGCAGACCCCTTCAACGAGCACATCACTGCATTCCCCGATGTCACACGTACTAGCTGCCACTCCGTGGCTGTCAAGGCACTGGATTCAGACTGGGGAGAAGACCTCAACAAATATCATGATAGCTGGCGGGAATAGTACTTCGTGTTTCGACATCATTGTTCCCCTTCCCATTCCTCCCATCAACAGCACACCGCGCACGTACCATCATTCTCTCACCCCTCGCCCTTCCATCTTACGCCCACATTGTCTTGCACGAGACCGCCTTCGTCTTTGGACACCCGCCACCCCTAGATCTCGCGAAGATCACTCAGGGTCCATTGTCGCCTTATCTGACGACGATGTCAACCGCATCTTTGCAGTGCTTGCCCACTCTCACGCTGTCGGCACACGTGAATGCTATGGGTCCGGACTTCTGGTATACCATGTCTTCTGCGATTCTTGCAACATCCCTGAAACTCAGTGTTGCCCCGCTTCGTCCTTTTTACTACTCGCCTTCGTAGCCAGCTGCGCTGGGTTATATTCAGGTCGTACGTTAGAAAACTATTTTTACAGCGTGCGTGCCTGGCACTTGTTGCATGGTCTACCCTGGCTGGTCAACCAAGCTCAAGTCTCTCTTGCCCTCGAAGGCGCAAAACGTCTTGCGCCGCCTCAATCCTCTCGTCCTAAACGCTCCCCTTTCACGATCACGCTGCTCACTCAAATTCACGGTCTCCTCCTTGTCGTCTTTCGACGCTTCAAGACACATGAAAGTCGCCGACGTGCACTGCGAAGTCGATCGCAACGGATTTCAGGTCACCACCTTCCGCTTGCCTCGTACCAAAACGGCCCTTACTGGAGAAGACGTCTACTGGGCCGCCCAGTCCGGCATCGTCGACCCTAAGGCTGCCCTGCTAAACCACTTCGCCGTGAACGCACCTCATTCCCTCGCAGCTTTGTTCAGCTGGCACCATCATAAAGGAATGAGGGTTCTGACGAAGTCAGCGTTTCTGAAATGTCTACAGGATGCCGGCGCGCGCCTTGGCCGACATGATCTGAAGGGTCATGGTATTCGCATCAGCGGAACGCTGGAGTACCTCCTCCGCGGTGTCCCTTTCGAGAGCGTCAAAGCAATGGGGCGCTGGAGCAGCGAGGCCTTTGTGTTATATTTGCGCAAGCATGCGGTAGTCCTAGCACCATACTTACAGGACCAGCCAGTCCTCGAACCGTTCATGCGATATACCTTACCTCTTTGATTGGTACGTGTCCGCGTCTCTCCTTACACTTGGGGCCAAGCTAACGCTCGATGCGTCGCGACGCGCTCCTTGTCATAGGGTATCTCGGCTCAGCTTGGCTTAGGGTGCGAGGCTCCAGAAGTGTTTCGGTCTAAAGCTTCAAAGCTTTGCCCAAAAACCAGATACCATTACTCCTGTCTTAGTTGTAGTCTACTTGTCTATACTGTCTCGCGCTGTACCCAGGTTCACACGTTGATTACCAATCAAACTTTGTGTTTGAGAGTTCAAGCACATCACTGAAAACCAAGATCTATGATAAACCCTTATATACACATTATAATCCCAACAATGTCTATAATCGTATAAAATATGGCAGTGCAGAAGCCATAGTCTTGTATAGAAATATATTGTTATCCCTTGCGACCAATCTTTATCATGATTACCTGTGCCCGGCATTAGTTGAATGAATTTGGCTGTGTAAAAACTCAAACAGATTGATAAACACGCTAATTGCTGAAAACAAGATATATATGTGTAGAACGCTATCCCCTATGACCAATAATTATCAAAATGGTTTTCATTTGGCATTGGCTGCATGAATCATGTTGTGACAATACTAAAACTGTACTGAAGTGATGATGCATGTTCGAAAAAGTGTCTCTCATTTAGCATTTCTAGCACAGCAGCTCTCCTGTCCAATAAGTAAAAGAGATAGAAATTCTTGCCATCTGTACCATCATATGGACAATTGCTTCATTGGCATCATGGTATTGCGGGTTTTATACTTGATTGGCCAGGAAGTCACATTGGGTTGTATAGGATTATACAGAGACACTCGGTACAATACATGTAGTTTATCAATGCCTCGCCAATTCTCTACCCTAATCTCATCATCAACACCGTCTGCAGGAACAATAACATGGGTTGAACCACAACAGATATCGTTAGTGCCTTGAAGTCCAATGAAAGCAAGGTGTCGCGGCAACTTGACACTATTGTTTCCTTATGCAGGGATTTGCACTGCTCAAGTGGTTGACTGAGTTTGGCGGTGCCGGTGTACAATCAAGCTCGGCGGTGCCAGTATAGGATCGAGTTTGGTGGTATATAATTGAACTCGTGGTACCATAGGATGTAACAGGATCGAGTTCAGCCATAGAATCGAGTTTTTGGCCATGGAATCACAGGGATCAAATCCAGATATGAGATCGAGTTCAGCCATATCATCGAAGACCAGTCATCCTTAGACAGAAACATAGACCACAACATGACATATCCTGTTGCCAGACCCTGTAGTACAGTGCGACTTTCTGGATGGCATCCTGTCGAGAAACTTGCAGGAAGTAGCGTTAATGAGTGATTGAAGGCAGAGTAGGTGATAGTGGGGATTGAAAATAAAGTCTGAGTCGGATCCTTACTTATCAATGACCGGAAGATATGCTCGGCCGGTGGTGACTGAGGTCTTGACCCTTCCCAAGGGAGTTGTACCTTGTTCGTTTTGAGATCCGGTGGTCAAACTATTTCAGAATAGGAAAAGAGAAGGAGCAGGGTCGGAGCCGGGTAAGGTTGCGAGCTTCGGTTGCAGACAGCTAAAACCAACAGAGATCCGACTCGGATATCAACGGCAGTTTCGAGCATCGGTCGAGGATGAATGGCTAATGTTGACTATGAAGAAAGGCCAAAAATGCAGAATGGGTTTCAAGTAGGATTAAGGGATCATCCAGACCACCATTCACTACTGCCTGATCCCAACAACCGCCAGTGCTTAGCGCACATGCCCAGCACATGTCAGCAAATGCTGACGTGGCTTGAACATATGCGAACCACACCGGAAGGCGCCAGAATGAGAGGAGTGGAGGAGGGCAAGAAGGAGATGAGGGAGAGGTAAGTTTATGTCTTGGGTGCCTATGGAACTGAGGTAGTTAGCAGCATAAAAATGCACAATACATATCACACGCACCTCTGCAGCTTAGAGAAAGGTACCCACAATCCCTCGGCTGCGTTCAACACCATCAATCTCCAGTAAAATGTCACAGCTCATTCCAAGCACCACATCCCTTCGAGCTTTTGACAGACCGGCAGTGCCTGTTCGAGAAATCGGCTCAATGTCGAGTAAGACATGTTAGGACCTCATAAGCGAAGAAGGATGGCACTGACCACGTCTTGAGATGAATTGTTGAATCAGAAAATACGACAATGACAAGCAAATGTAGCGAAGCCATGGAGGACGAGTGCGACTCACAGTGGTGTGTGTGAGTTTTGTGTGTCTAGAATTTTTGGATAGATCCAGCGCCATATACGTTGAGCGTATGCCTACAGCATCGACGTCTTCCTATCATTCTGCACTGCTATATAGTATTAAGCAATTATTACGCATGAATGCAAACACTATACCACCGGCTTAGAATTCGACATACTGTTAGAATAATGTGTCGAACACGACAAACAAGCTCATGGATCAGGAAAATGATGCTTGATAAGTAGGCCAATACATGGGTATATAAGGACAACACAGATTTCGCCAACCTTATAAGGTAAATATTGTCATACCGGGTTATCCGGTTTTCAGTGATGCATAGACTGTTAGTCTTTGACACTCCAAGTCCCCCCGGGCCCATCTATAAGGCCGCCGCCGCCAATATTCGCATCTGAATCCCAAAACATACCGTTGGACACACGTGACACGGGGCCACTCATCGATACCCCACTGCTAATCGCGTCAGCAATAACCAACAACTTGAAGGCAATGAGAACGAGAATCACGCGGGCCCTACCCAGACTGGCAACTTACCTGAGAGTATCCACGAGGATTCGTCAACAATAGTGAGTGCAGATTAAATGCGCCTGCCTCTGTCCTTGACACAGCCAGAGTTTGCCTCGCTATTTGTAAATTGTAGGAACGACATGAGATGAGCTGAAAAAAGGCCATGGAAGCGGAGGAGTTTCACGAGTTGGGTGGACGTCTATCGAGGCGCTTGGGCTACATAACTGACGGCTGCGCAGCCATATTGATACTCACCACACTAGCGGAATCTAGATGGGTGAGGATATGGGGTTATTGCCACGTTCGGTGCGTAAGCTACCAGTTTCACTTATGTTTGTTTTTGCTTCGCTTATCTAACTACTTGGCTGCGCCTTTGGTAGAATTTTGCTTGACGCCGTGGTACACCACGCTGAGCCACCAGTCTTGGGATCTGTTACAATAGACTACATTCAGACGCCTGACTTCACTTTGCGTTTCTTTCGATGCCGAGTTGACTTGCGGTTACTGAAATGTAACCACTTGGTCTTTTAGTTACCCGATCGACCTCCTAGACCATTGCCCGATCAAAATTCAAATTGACTGTACGTCCAAATGATGCTCGATGAAAAGTCGCCTCTCATCGACTGCTTCGCACTTCCCAGGTGCTCGTATTATATTTCCTCATGTCCAATCCCTCTTCAAGCTAAGTTTCGCATGTTCTTCCTCACCTCACCTCTCAATATCCTTGTGCCCGTCATTCTTACCGTGCTCTTCTTACCACACGCATATTGTACGTACTGTACGCAATAAGCCACGTATTATTACAGTTCCCTCAACATTTAAACCCGTGTGTGCAACTGAATCTGAATGAAGTTTCTAAACACTTCCATGTCGCTGCCGCAATCTTCTTCACTTTCTTCACTCCACTTTGGCAGGCGCCGTTGAACACACATCTATCCATTGGGTTCGCTCGACTGGATATCTGATCATATTATTCGTTCCTCTATTATCGTTCCATGCTCTCAAAAATCTGTCGCCCAATCACCTTTCTAACACGTCGTTCGCTCAAATTCGAATGCAATGCATACAATAGACGATGGATTAAGCGTACACTCCATATCATACTCGACAAAGTGTCTCAGGTATTTCTACAGATCAATTCACCAGAACGTAATCAAGAGCTACTAGGATCGAATTGATTAACTGCAAGTAATGGAAAAGGCTATAAACTCACTCGTAGCAGTGCTTCCAGCGTGTCCCATGCGCCATACGACTCAAATCAAGTTCAACACCACCTCCGGGTATAACCAATGCAGTCCATGGATTATAAAATAGTTCTCGAGAAGCATGTGGTACCCAGAATAAGAGCCGACGATTGGGTCCCATCATCCATCCATCATCTCCAAGAAGAGCAAACGTCGATCTGCGATCATCATGGGGGGTGCATGCGAGTAGCTCAGTGGTGTTGCGCAGTGCATGAGTTGAGTCGGATGAGAAGGAGATGAAGTCATCATTCGCAGTGTTGGGCGTGGAAATGGCCGCTGTTAGATGTCTGATGCGTGGGGAAGATGGTGAATGGTCTTCTTCGGCGTGGTCCTGCAATGAATCTTCAATCACTGCATACCAGACCCGGACGGTCCCATCCCGTGAACAAGAAATGATGCGATTCCCATCTGGGGAGAACAAGACTGATGTGATCCAACTAGTGTGCCCCTCCAAGGGCTTACCAACTGACTTCCCCGTCCCTGCATCCCACAGTCGGATAGTCTGATCGTCCGAACCAGAAACGATGCGAGTTCCATCTGGGGAGAACGAGACTGTTCTGATCAAACCAGTATGCCCCTTCAAGGGCTCACCAACTGGCTGCCCTGTTCCTGCATCCCACAGTCGGATAGTCTGATCGTCTGAACCAGAAACAATGCGAGTTCCATCCGGGGAGAACGAGACCGTTCTGATCATACCAGTATGCCCCTCCAAGGGCTCACCAACTGGCTGCCCTGTTCCTGCATCCCACAGCCAGATAGTCCTATCGTCCGAACCAGAAACGATGCGAGTGCCATCTGGTGAGAACGAGACTGATCTGACCCAATCAGCGTGTCCCTCCATGGGTTCACCAACTGGCTGCCCCGTTCCTGCATCCCACAATCGAATAGTTTTATCCATTGAACCTGTTACGATACGAGTTCCGTTCGGTGAGAATGCGATCGAGTTAACCAAGTCAGTATGCCCCTTCAAGGGCTCACAGACAAGCCTCCCTGTCGCCACATCCCACAGCCAGACAGTGTTATCTGCAGAACCAGTTGCGATGCGAGTCCCATCCGGAGAGAACAAGACTGAGTAGACACGACTAGTGTGCCCCAACAAGGGCTCCCCGACTGGCTGACCTGTCGATGCATCCAACAGCCTGACAGTGCCATTCTCAGAACCAGTCGCGAAGCGGGTCCCATCCAGCGATAGCGAAACCGAGGCAATGGAATCGGTGTGGTTCCGTAAGGACTGACCAACTGGCTGCCTGGTAGCTGCATCCCACAGTCGGATAGTGGTATCCACAGAACCAGTCGCAATTCGAGTCCCATCTGGAGAGAATGAAACTGAGGTGACCTTACTAGTGTGCCCCAGCAAGGGCTCGCCGACTGGCTGCCCTGTTGCTGCATCCCACAGCCAGACACTGTTATCGTTTGAACCTGTCACGATGCGGCTTCCGTCTGGAGAAAACGAAACTGAACAAACATAATAAGTGTGCCCATCTGAGGGCTCACAGACAGGCTTTCCCGTCGCCACGTCCCACAGCCGAACAGTCCTATCGTGCGAACCAGATACGATACGAGTCCCATCCGGGGAGAACGACACTGAGTTAACCTGATGAGTGTGCCCCAGCAAGGGCTCACCGGTTGGTTGTCCTGTTGCTGCTTCCCACAACCGGACAGTCTCATCATTTGAACCAGAGACGATGCGAGTCCCATCCCGCGAGAACGACACTGAGTTAACCCCATTAGTGTGCCCCAGTAAGGGTTCACCGACTGGCTGCCGCTTTGCTGCATCCCACAGTCGAATAGTGGTATCCGTCGAACCTGTCACGATGCGAGTTCCGTTCGGCGAGAATGCGACTGAGTTAATCCACCCAGTATGCCCCAATAAGGGTTCGCCAACAGGCTGCTGTGCTCCTACATCCCACAACCGCACAGTCCTATCGACCGAGCCAGATGCGATGCGTGTCCCATCCGGCGAGAATGAAACTGAACGAACTGAGTCAGTGTGCCCCAGTAAGGGCTCGCCTACTGGCTGCCCTGTTACTGCATCCCACAGCCGCACAGTGCGATCACTCGATCCAGTCGCAATGAGAGTCCCATCCGGCGAGAACGAGACTGAGTTAACATAATCAGTGTGCCCGTTAATCACAGTCTGAACAGCTGTCCAGTTGAGATCACGTCCAGATGCCAGACGAAGAGAGTTGGGAAACCGTGCCGAAATTTTTTTGGATAGTGCACAGTTGACGGGCGAGAATGGCAATGCTGATACATAGAGATGGGGTGTGCTGTGTAAGATGATGCCGCCAAAGACTTGAATAAATCTCTGCACATCCATTGCAGCGGACGAGGCTTCTTCATATCCGATCTCACCCTGTAATTGCGATTCCGTGTTAGCGAGCATGTTATCTGACACTCGATAACCATGTGCTCACCTTTAACCACTTGGCGATAAGCGGAAGGACGGGGACTGCGCCCCTGAGCGCGTTGATAAGGCAGAGTGCCTCGAGCCAGAAGAACAGTCGTTCATGCTCGAAGAACGATTTTATTTCTTTGGCGAGGTCTGAATTGAAGTCAGTTGCTTGCACGTGGACTGGCCAAAATCGGCAGGCATAGGATAGATGTTGGGGGACGTATTCTTCAACTCGTTCTCGCAGACCAGGATCTTCGGAGTTGGGGAGATACGATGATTTTAGACTGCAGACATTGAAAGACAATTTATGTTTCATCACTTGAAGCGACGCCAAAGCAAGGTCTCGTTGTACCTTCGGCATGTCGACGGAGAACTCTCCGCTGCATTCACTATCTGTAAGGAAATCGCGGAAGGATGCATGAAGAGGTCGGATGGGGGTGGATGAGTCGGTGGTGCCGCTGAGGAGGGATCCCATATGTTCGACAATGACTTGCACTTCGTAATGCTCGCTTTTGTCTGGAGAATGGCTCCGTATGACATTCAGGGACTCCAAAGAGAGAGGTTCAGCTGCGCCAAGGATTTGTCCCATCACAGAACGAAATCTCGCTAGCTGTTTGTGCTGAGATGCGGAGTTCGTGGATTTATCCTTTCGCATAACTCCTGTCAAAATGACGTGATACATGTCATACAACAAGTTTTGCCGCTCGGCAGGGTCATGGGACGTGACAAGACTAAAGCACTCCATCGGAGATAGACCAGGGGAATCTTTGATATATGAGCAGGCGAGACGCGCCCATTCGAAAAGCCCATCAGCTTTTTCAGCGAGGGTTGTCAATTCTCTGTTCTCAAAATGCGAGAGCCCTTCCAGCTCCTTCGATACGTAAGTGCGGATGTCGCGCTCTGCGGTGGCTGACGAAATGTCATTCATGGACATCCGTCGAATATGCTGAGCACCTGAGAGCTCAACTTCGATGTCGCGAAGCGGGCGAGAGGTTACGATGATCCGGAAGTTGGCTGGGAGTTCGGTGATTCGTTGAACGCCTAGGTTGCCCGCAAGAATGCGGAGAATGCGAAGCCGCGCCTCGACCCCGCCGCTCTCATCCAGTGCGTCTATCACGATGACAACAGGTCTTACCATTGACCCTGAGGGCTTCCCAAGTGGTTTCATCAGAAGCTTGTCCCATTGCTGAACGATGTCTAGTGTAGTCTTGAGCGAACTCGCATCTTTAACTGCCTTTGCCAATACTTGTCTCATCTCCGGATCGCGGTCGGCCAGGTCGCGCGCAATCGTAGAAAAAATCTTTTCATGACGACGCTCGGCGTCTCGCTGGCGATCGAAGCAGAAGCATGAACCAAGCCCTCCCACGTCGTTGAACCAGTTGGCAATCGTGTGCGCGATGGCCGACTTGCCCTTGCCTGCAGGGCCAGATAACCAGAGCACACGCTGAACGTCATCTCCGGTACTGTTGACCCAGTCCGTGATCTCCGACAAGATTTCTGTACGCGTCCCTGATAGGCATTGCTTGCCAGTATCCACTCCAGCACCTTCCGCATACGCCATGCCGCTGAGGTCGAGTGTATCGCCTGGAGACGTGTGAGTAGATGTCGAGTCAGAAGGAAGAGTAACCCATACCTGTACGGTGGACGAATATCTCTACATCGCGAGTGACTTGATCCCGGAAGCTTTGCATGAGCGCGTCCAACACGTCGATGTACTGCTGAGTCGTATTTTCTGCTTCTGAGATAACGTTTTTCCCGAGTCTCTTCCCTACAACAATAGTACAGTATAGATAATGAATGAGCGAGCGAGCAAAACACAATAATTCATGTATTCCTCACAGAAATTTTTTGTCGCAGAGTAATCTTTGATGAACTGGGAGCATTCAAGAGTCTGCTGAACTATCCGTCCGACGATCCCCTGCATCGACGGAATTCCGCCAAGAGTCTCATCTTGCATCATGAAATCGTAGACTTGACCTAACTTCTCGAGAAGCCGGAGTATCCCTTGGTCTCGATCTGTTTGAGCGAGAATTATCTGCATGGATGGCAGCTGAGCATGAGATAAGACCCGGAGTGAAACGATGCGTACTTTGGATGCAGAAGATAGTAGGCCCAGTGTCATCTTTGCGTAAGGGTGCACCTATGCAAAGGGATCAGTTCTGTTCCAACCAAGAGAAATGGGCCCATACATCCGCAAGCTTCTCGATAACACTGTCGAATATCTTGAGAGGCCGAAGATATGTGTCCTCTAGTTTATATGCATCTTCTAGATCCGCTGATGCGTTTTGTGCAGCGGAAACTGCAGATGTCACAGGTCCTGAAAGTGGACTCATGCCTCTGGCAGCCTCGTTGGCCTCTCGAAGTGCCGACTGGGGATCGCCGCCTTGTTTTGCACTCGAGGGAGCATCCTGAATCTGGTAAACAACAGAACTTACGGAGTGCATAAACTGAAAGGTGACCTACCTCGATATTCGGAATCGATGGGACACCTTCACAGTCGACGTTTGGGAGAACAGGGTCGCGGCTGCGTGAATCCTTCAAGTTCGAGCGCTCGTGTACGATATCAGCCTTATCACAGTGCACTCACTATTGATTTCGACTCACAGAAATCTTTTGTATTGCACCATTCGTGACCTTCCCCAGAAACCGACTTATTTTGCCACGGGGTCGGCCCTAGACAAGGGATACATTGACAAGAGTCAGCGTTTCGAGTGTAACTCGATGGATATCAGCCACGTACCGGGTGTCCCGTAGCATTTGCTTTGTTGGATGTCTCGATGTGTGGAGGAACAGACCTTGAGTTCCTCAATTGATTGCCGTCGTTCATGGTGAAACGGTTGAATTTGATGATCAGTTTGAGCGAAGTAGAGCCTGAGAGTGACAAGTTACTAGGGTGTGCCTCATATGCAACAGCCCAGCAAACCTCGTGACAATATTTACTGCTGTATTGGCTTCAGCTAAACATTGCCGCATCGGGTGGGCGCCAGGGAACTCCGGGAAACGCAAGGCAGTTGAAGGAACCATTTGAAGATTTGTGGTAGTACATAGTTGCCTCATCGACTGTGCTACAATATGGTCAAGCACTGAGTCAGTTTAACTGAGCTGTGGACGCAATTGATGGATAATACAATCAAACTAAGATCATAGTAGCATTTTCTGCAACTTGAACCAATGCGAGTTGTTGAAGGACTGCAACAATTGTATCGACAGATTGATTGCAGACTATTAACCAGATCATGATCGAGTCGGAGTCGCAGTAATTATTTAGATTTCTATCTTTTTCGTTTATTCTTTCTCACGTTACATCGATGGTCAACGGAGGAGTTAGTTACTCTAATAAAACAGTGAGTCAGTGAACCCCCGTCGTTTTGTCCACTATGGATGAATTGTAGTAGCTATTGGCTCATATAGGGATCGCTCGTCGTCCTTTCCTACTATTCCTCTCGACATACTTTTCGATATATTTCAGCATCTTCCTATCCAAAGCGTCCTGGCACTACGGCAGGTTGGCGCCCCTGCTTCATTTCGCGGCATTTTTTTTATCTAATTTTTATTTTTTAGACTAGTAAAAGTTTTTATGCTATCGCCCGTCTGCTCAGTCTCTGGGCTCTCCTTCTGCGGACTCTTGTCCAGGAACAAAACATCCCTATACCCTACTTCGATGGAAAATCCCTCGAGTCTTTGTCAGCCTTAAAGCTCGAGCGGCTTACATGTCGTGCACTCGCTCTTCGCAGCAACTGGACTAACCCTCATCCGAATGTGAAGAGGGAATCGATTTTGAAGAGCCCTCTGAGAAGGATTTGTACATTTTCTTTATGGAGTTTCTCCCTGGCAAAAGAAACCATTGGTTTATTTCTGTTGCGACTAGAGTGGTAGGCCAATTTCGCCTACAACGCGTTATCCAGTGCTGGGACCTTGCTGTCCTACAACCCGTGTGCATAGCAAAACTGACATACATGGAAGGGCCATACGACCGTGTTGTTATCAATGACGATCCCTCTTCTCCAGCCATGATAGCGATCCAGTCATCACTGTGAGTGTAAATAGTAACACCCGCTTTAACGTTCTTGCTGATGGTCTATCATAGAACGGGAATACTCACAATCGACTTCGAAGAGAAAAACCCCGAGTCAGCATTCGTTCCGCTGAGTACCATTGATGGACTTAGAGAGATTCACCTACTCAGTGGGAGCACGCTCGTCACCCGGCGTCCAGAACACGACGGAGAAGTGAGCATGTGGGACATCAGTGATCAACCTTATGAGAAAATACAGTTGGCGAGCCCCTCGCTATCACCGGTTAGCTTGCTTTTTGTGTAATCCTGCACGTCGCTGAGTTCCATGATTTGGCAGTTCGTTCCATTACTGCGAAGCTATGCATCTCTGTGACGATTACATAGTAGTCAAATTGTCGAGCTCTACTCCACCATTCCCCGACCCAACAACATTGCAACGCCGGGAGTGTCAATCACGTACCCTCTCGCACAGCACAGCTTTCAACGGCCCCTACAGTCCGTCTATGTGTCAGGGCAAGTCAATTGGCATGCTGCGCGCTCGCGCCGCCCCTCACCAATCAACATTGCCGTTCGATATAGAAGCACCAATCTCTGGCCGGCGAACACGCTGCATCTTTTCGTACTTACGCCAAATCCCGCGTACATCCCAGGACGAGAGACTTCTCTATATAACCTTCCATACGCGGCGCAGCCCACTCTAGTGCAGACGATAGGCTCACCAGTGTTTTCACTTCAGACGTCGGTCATTGCTCTCGGACGATATGGTACTGTTATCTGGCTTGACAACTATTACGAAGACTGGGCGTATGCGAGGGAGCCTAGCGAGTTCGATCAGCGACTTGCAGGACAGATACTGACGGCTACAGGAGGATTCTCGACTAGCCAGCATGGCTCAGATGATTCCATGATATTTCGCGTACGAGACCGCAACGATTGGAGCGTGGTCGCGATTGATGAGGAGTCTGGGAGAATTGTGGTCGGTGATGTGGACGGTACGATAACACTTTTCGAATATCTTTAACTTGGTTTCTTCATTTGCTTTTGTTTTGATTATTGTCTCTTGACATGGACATTCTTCTCCATACCCACATCAAACTCACATTTAGCATATTTCACCATTTTCTGGTCTGTCACTTATATCCCTCGTCCATAATGTACGAAGTTAAATTCATTGGGGTGGTGTATAATTGTGCGTTTCATTCCTGCTAGGTTTCCATTCCGAAAGGATCACAAAAATTCCAAGTCACAGCTGATATATCGCAGATGAGGACCTAAAAAACCAATGTGCCGTGTCATAATCCCATACCCGGAAAAGTACGTACCGCTGACGGTGTCAGTCCGAGTTCCCTCAGTGTTTTGCTGAACTGATCACGAGAGAATGTTTTCCTATTGGAAAAATCATGAATCCTCGGTACTGTTTACACGGCGCAACAAGACGCAGACTGACCTGGGGAAATGCTAGGCGAATGTGACTGTTTCCACGTCGACGGAAAGCGTTTGGGCAGCTAAAAATTCAGCGACTTCACGTAACGCTTGCAAGATGTATGAGTTCACAAGACGTTCGTAGTCTGTTTTAACCCGCTCATTACCAGGAATATGGTGCACCTTACCCAGGATTATGCAAGCCAGGAAATAACATCGGGCCACTGAAACTCGCCACGAAGCTGTACCCGCATGCTCAAGCACACGCTGGGCAATACGCCTCCCAAAGCTTGCACACTCGGACACCGGTGAGTGCAGTCACGCATGAAACGACCTATAATTTTTCCACTTATCGAGTGACCGGTTTTGGCCATACCGGCGTGCATGCGCCTCCCTAAATCGTGCGAGACCCATTAGATTGAATAAATTATGATCATGAATGGACCCAAAGTTCGGCGACTACGTCTAACTCTTTCATTGTCCTTGCTTCCCTCGTGCCGGACCCTAAGTGATGAGTAGCCTGATCTGTACCAACATCTACGAGCTCATCCCTGACCAGTAGGATGCGCAAGCCACCCGCTCGCACAAATCCTGTCTGCATAGGCAGGAAGGTAAGTTCAAACTCTTGACTACCCTCTGCCTTCCTCACATCATTATCTGATGAGTCCTCATGATGACTGGCGTGACTAGGATCAGTGAGCGCAATAGGGCTCAGGAACTGTGTGGATGGCCCAGCAAATACACAGCCTTTCAACTTCACCCGCTTTTCCTCATCAGCGAACTCAAAGTAAGGGGGTGGCAATGTGGGTCCTCCGCGTGTGAGAATCTTCTCTGGCGAGATAACCAAGAGATTCTCGCTTGCCATGTTGGGAGAATTTTGTACAGGGGTAACAAGCGTTGACGTCGCAGAAGTGAGGCCCAGAGACGAGAACCGTGAGCTAATTGTCTCGGTGGCCTGGAATGGTTCAGGGTATGCAATCGCTGTAGCACGCGGATATTGAAGATGTTGTACAGCAAGAGTTATAACCCTTTGTTTCCCTTTGGCCTTTGGTAGAGCAGCAGAAACAGTGGCAGTGAAAGCAATCTTGAAGGGCCGTTCAACAGCGATAGATTCCCTTGCAATATGGTTTACGATAACATCGACCTCGACGTCCAACACGGAAGCAGGCACCGGTGGTGCTGGTTGTTGTTGATTTGGTGCGATAGGCATGTTGGACATAGATCCAGCTGCCGATGATTGCGGGCGCGTGCGGAAGGGTGAGCCTGGTCTGTATGAAGCCGGGGTTGGGGAACTAGGTCGAGAAGGGGGAAGTTGTGGAGATCGTGGTCGGGCGGGCGACGATGGTGCACTTGGCACAGTGCGCTGAAGATAAGGCGGAAGCGCTGAAACAGGGTGCTGGAGTGGGGGAGCTGGACTTGGAGTTGGGTTCGGAACTGGAGTGGGGCCAGGAAATCGACGGGACAACATCTACGTGTCAAAAATAAGCGATGAAACTACTCTTTTGGACGGTGATCTCACCGAAGTTAACAAACGCCCAGGCTCGCCGAACTGAGAACGCCATGAGATGTCAAGTCTACCGAGAGGGATGACACTGCCTGCTGCATGAACGATAGGAAATGAGGAAGACGATGTTGGGGTCAGGATATAGATATACTGTCGTATGGCTTGTGGTTGCATGAGAGCCATCGAATCAGAAAATAATCTCCGATCCTTATCATCATCTGTCGTGTTGGCATCGACAACACTCCATCCCTCCGCGCATTCAAACTCCATGCGCTCGAACCACATCGTATCCTGTGTTAAGTTTTGAATGTGGACTTCGAGAAATATTTTCTCGCGCTCTGACGAAATCATCAACGCTGACGGAGACCGAGGTGTATGTACCTTTGTCTTTACAGAAAGAGGGTTGGTAACCTAGCGCGTTTTCAGTCGAAATATTCAAATCGCCAGAAGTCCTATTGAAAACCATACATACAGCAAACTTGTAAAACTTGCGGAAGGTTGCTTCATTTGAGGGATCATTAGCACCAGAGGACTGGCGGTATGACGGAGGCAGGTGGTACGAGACGATACAAGCCAGAACATGGTGGCCCAATTCCTTCACCTCGTGGTGGGCTACATATTCCAGTGAATCTCCTATTGCGAGCTTGAAACCTGGGCCACCGAGTTCAGCCAACAGTATCTTGGAGTTTGCTGTCTGGATCTCAACGCGAACACTGACACCCTCGACATCGATATTGGTCTCATTGTTAATGCATATGCAACTGGAGAATGTTTCGCCTAGCTGAATGGCTCCGAACGAGGCGGGAAGCGTAAGGAACTCAGATGCTTGAGTAAGATCCCGTAGGGTCTTGGGGTGGCCTTGGAGAGGTGTCTTTCCTTGCAGAGAGAGAATGGACGCAGTAGAGTGGGCAGAGAATGAAGGAGAGCTGGAATAAAAGGGCTGCCATGCGCTAGCTAGTGATGGTCTCTGTCATTAAGTACCAGCATTGATCACCACGTTGCGCGCTGAAAGATTGTCCACCCACAGATACCCGCATCACTTTCAGTGATAAAAGATGTCCTTGCGCATCCATGTTCGTTGCGGTGGCCGTGTATAAGCACTTGAGCTGTGGTAGACCAGGACCTAGTACTGAAGTGTCTACAGTCTGGACTCTGAATACCGTCTACTAGTACTTTGCGCTGAGTGTTGTTTGTTCATATTAGAATTCAAAGCCATCGGCTATCCTCTGTCGGGGAACCTCCGGAGAGACCTCATTCTGCAGACTGGAGGTCAACCGGAGACAATTGGTTCTGGGAGTCATGACACTGACAAGGTGTAAGATAGCCGTAAAACATGCATGTAGTCGGGTCTGTACTCTAGTTACAGTAATATCATGCATGGACCATCAGATGATTATAGCGCAAAATAAATAAAAGATAGAAAACGTATAAATATCAAAGTTCTTGCTGCACAATTTTCTTTGCCAACGCCTTAACGTTGTCGGCACTGGATCCTAGTCTGGTTGAGCCCACGGCTGCATCTACCATCTGTTGTCCGATACCAGGAGGTGCCCTCTTCCATTGAGTCACTCTCAGCCCAACTCCAGGCATTGTATGTCGAGCGATGTACCGCACCCAACGGTCGACGACCTCGGGGTCTGCATCCCATGCTTTAATTGCACGTTTGTGCACCTTCCGCTCGAAGTTCTCTTGACTCTTTTTGTGCACGAACGGACCACGAGGTACAGTCCATAGCGAGCGTTGTGTTGGCAAGTACACCGGGCGTGAAATTGGGATGCCCAATGCTGCAGCTGCATGTCCTACAAAATGCATGTACAGTTCAAGAAATTGTGGGTGATATGCGCGGAACTGCAGCTGAGCGACTGGAACTGAATGAGTGCGGGGGTGAGTGCGGGGGTGGTATGACGGGGGGTAGAGGCTACGTCCATGAATAATCATGGAAGAAAACTCTTCTTCTGTCAATGGTGCAGGAGCCTCCGATTCCAGCTGTCGAGTAGCACTACATAAAGGCTGATATCATTCAGCTGCAAGACACGTAGTAAGCAAGCACATACACTGGGTGGCTGCTGCTGCCATTAAACCGCACAAATCTGGCTATAGTTGGCAGAGCCAGACAAGATCGTCGAGAGAACATGTCTTCAAGTTCGCGAATCACGCTCAATTCAGTCTATGGTCAAAATATTGAACCCGGCGAATGCCGGATCATGCCTTTGAAACCCTCCGATTCATGAGGTTTGGAACGAGGCTCAACAATAGACCGCTATGTCTTCCCATGACAGTGACCCATTTTATCTCAGGCGGGTGTGCTGCTAATTCATGAAATAATTGAGCTGACAGGTGTTTTCAGATACTAGTAAATCATGATGAATTCCGTTTTGTGATGTCGCTAAATGTTCATGCAGCACTGGCCATTCAGGAAAACACGGCCATGAATTCTTGGAGTTTGAGTACTCCCATGGTCGTCTTCGATATGCCAACAACTCGAATTATAGGAATGACAGCTTGATTCGTAAAGAAAGTCGGTGGTTCATTTTGCGTCCCGCTCGAGTGCTGACCCAAGTCCTCAGTGTGGGTAGGGCCGTTAGTGGTCAAGGAGCTCAAGCGCATTGTGGAATCGAGTGAAATCACAAAGTAATCACACGCTGTGCCCCATTTTTGACCTGCTGACTGGCCTTTCAGGGAAGATGATACGAACTGGCCGAAAAAAAACATCGTTGGAAAGCAAGAACTTGAGATACGTGTAGGCAATGACCACATTGCCTTCGAGGTACGTGATTAGCAGTATCTCTACAAATGGTATCTCATAACTTATTCGTCACATTTAGACTGCAAAAATCGGGTCACTTGTTGATATCCAAGACAGCGAGGATCCTGAAGGACTTCGTGTATTTTACTACCTCGTACAAGATTTGAAGGTGTGTTTTCGCCTACTTTCCCTCACACTATCTTACAGCCATCTGTAGTGTTTGATATTCTCCCTTATTTCTCTTCACTTCAAGATCAAGCCTATCTAGCTATATTCGTATCTCTTGGGCCAGGCCCAAATAACGCACCAGCAGCACCACAAATATTACCTTTGTATCGCCTTAAATTTC